CTACAATAGCACGTACACCTCGAGAGCAAAGGAAGCTGCGAGGGAAATAACGATCGAGAAAACGGTCGGTAGCTCTTTCTCGGAGTGTCGTCGTTAACTATTCACCGGCTCCATAAAAATCTTATCGCGCTTGTAACGAGACACTATACCCGTAATAATACACCTACGTATGTATGCTCGCCGCAACTCCATTTACCCTCTCCCTATTTCCGACTCCATTCAAAATTCATCCGCCCGAAAGCTCCCTTTTGCCTTCGACTCCGAAAAAAAAGAATAAAACAGAGAAACCCATGGAGATTGAAATAACCCACCCTTTTACATGCATGCTAGTGGGAAGTATCATGTATGTAAACGGCTCGGCACCGAGAGATAATTTTTACCGAGAGCTTTCGTCGCTGCTCTCCTCAAAGCCGTTGGAGGAGAGCGTTGACGTAACCCGCCCGCGTGGGAGACATGTATAGGTGCCTGACTCTCTTCCCGACGCGATGCGTGTAATAGACACACGTTTCCTAGTCCGTTTGCTCGACTCGTGTATTTTTTTTTTTTTTTTTTTTTTTTCGAAACATATATACCAAATGTAACCAAGTAAAAAATACGTGCGTATCGAGTTTTTTTTCTTCACCACTTGTACAGCTCTGAATCTCACCGAAACGCCGAAAGTACTCGACGTACCTTCCCTGCGTGCTCTTTTTTTTTTCCTTCTCCCTTTTTCTCTGATTTTCGGTCGTTTCGGGTTGTTTATTGTATCGAAAACTGCTGTGTTGACATCGCGAGAGACGAATACGTGAAATGAAATTGAAAAAAACCCATGTACGCACGCACTTCCTGACCGACGATACACCAAGGCATCCACAGCCGGGCAGCTCGTGCAATTTAAATTTCCTCCCCTCGCGGGCGTTATATATACAACTCGTCATGGTCGTGGTCGGTTTACCCCCCTCCCCCCCTCCATACATTACTCACGTATACATTCGTAGGTATAGCTGGCGCGTTCTCACACTCATCAGGAGCGGGAGTGCAACGCTCTCTCCCTGCGCCAGTCATTCAAACTCTCGGGTCGTATACGTATAATAACGCTCATCGGCACAGTTGGGATGAAAAAATTACGTTTCCCCGTACAAAACAAAAACTACGCACCCTTGGACGGAAGAGGAGAAAAAAGTAAGTTTGTTTTGCACCCTCCGTGCGGGACTATACGCTCTCGCACCCCTCGTTACTCTTTTTTCTTCCCCTCCGGCGTCCCCCGACAAACGGACAGCCAACCGAAAACATGTTAGAAAAAACACCGCCACTCCGAAACTGGACCACCGTTCCCTCTTTTTTTTTTTTTTTTTTTAAATTAATTTACAGGTTGATCTGTATCGACAACCCCCACAACGGCACAGAACCGCGAGTATAACCCGACGGCGATTGGCACCACCTATACGTGAAACGAGACGCCGAGCGTCGGAGGTGGCAGGCGGTCGAGCACTGCCGAGCAAGCGAGAGAGCCCGGCTCTCCCCGAGGAGAGGAGGAGGGAAGCATCAGGAGCTGGCCGCCAGAGTTCATTGATCAGGCGCTATGTGCACGCTCGCTCGCTCGTTTTCTTATTTTCGACGCCCTGGCTCCGATGCTCGGGGAACGGGGTGATGGACAAAAAAAATAAATGTAGGGAGTACCGTACGTTTTCTTTCCCCCTAATAGTTTTACTTTTTATTTTTTTTTTTTGGGAGGTAAGTGAGATAGCTAAAAAATACACATAAAGGGGGATCGATTCACCTTGGATGACAACGGCTGTCCGATGCGGATGGCACTTGCGATTTCCTCCTCCCCCTCGGACGTGTGGGTGGCACCTCGTAGAGAGAGAGGCTTACAAGGCGCGTCTCTCCTCTATACGTTACACCCAGCAGCGGTACGGGCGGGGCGCTCCTCTCTCGCTCTTTTCATCCATCCGTATACGCTGCGATGTATGTTCACACGCGCACGCACACACGTTGTACAGTAAAAAAAAAAAAAAAAAAGAGAATAATAGTAAAACACTGTTTCTACCCCCCTTCTCTCCTGGTGCATTTATGTACCTGTAGGTCCTCCAACTGATTTGCTACGTGGGTGTATACGTGCAGGCGATGAATGTTGTACACGAGCGATGCGCTCTGTCGGGGAGAGCCGGGCGGCCAATGTGGCAGAGTATGTGTACAGAGGGGAAGAAGAAAAAAAAAAAAATAAATAATGGGGCAAGCAACCGAAGCTTTTCGCGCACTCAAATCACAGGTACAAGTGATGTATCCACCAGAGACGACAGGAGGACCAAGGAGCTGGTGATGCCATTCGAGCCGCGCGCGAGTGTATTGTATACGTGTACGCGACGCCGTCCGGAGCTGTACTACGGGCTACCTCTGTCTCTGACTTTCTGCCGTGCCGAAGCTGCACGGTGCTCTCTCTCTCTCTCTGTCTTTTGTGTACGTGTTCGTTTGCGTTGGCTGGAAAAAGGAAGAGGGGAGACCCGATCCCGCGGCAGTGGAGCTCAGCCGAGCAAAGACTCCCGGCGGTGTTAAGGTGCTTTTACCCATGAGCTTGCGAGCTTTTTTCAGCTGCCCCCCCCAGACTCGGGATTCTTTCGTTCGGGGGCAAGGTGAGCTTTTTTTTCTTTAATGCGCTCAGATTGAAAGCTCGGTTAAAGTAAAAGGTACACTTTTGGCTTGTTTGGTGGATTTTAAGAGTGGGTGACCAAACAGGAGAACTTATATTCACAAGGGGTGAGAAAGATGTTGTTAACGAGCGAGCATTCTCTCCAATACAATTTATACGATTGATAGAAAAAAAAAAAAAAAAAATATGTGTCTACTTTTTCATCAAAAGGATAAAACTCGCGCGTACAGTCAAACTAAGCTGTCTAGGTCAAAAGAATCTATAAACTGCACCCTCTCATGTGAAAACGAACATTTTAACTATGATCATCACGAAGATATGTAAAAAATCAAATATCTTTCCTCCAAGGTACCATAATAAAAAAATAACAAAAAAAAAAAAAAACAACAACCCTTGTAATCCCCGACCCTCTTCAACTTCCATCATCTCACGGGGCGTGTATGTATACACGATGAGCGACCAAGCCGCGCTCTATTATTTACTCCTCTCTCGCAGAAAGTGCCGGTTAGTTAAGTGTACACCCTATAAATATGTGTAGTACCTATTGTAACGTGTATATTTATACGTAACGCATAGAGGGGTCCAGTCTCATCGAGGTATACATGCGTGACGTTGTATACCTACCCGTACACGTTACAAGACCCAATCGGCTAGTCGGGGTACTGGAGTAACTGTGGAGAACCACCACAATAATTCATGCGAGCCGGGCCCTCTCTCTTGCTCTCCGGTTTGTAATGCGGCTCTACTCGCTGCTGTGCGGCTACACTTATATACATATACACATACGTATAGGCATATAGGCGCTTCGCTTGGGTGATCTCCAGCTTCTTATACGCCAGAGAGGATATCGCATGTATACCTAGTGGTACAGCCTACGAGAGCGCCTGCGCTGCCCCACCGTGTATACGCGCAGGTGAATCTATGTGTGTAGCTGTTTTTCCTCTCGCGCCGGTCGACCAGTGTTTCCCATCTGTACTCCACTCGGCCGAGCCAGGAATGGATGTTTCAGGCTTCAGGCCCCGGGTCTCTCTATCCATTTCCCCCCCCCCCCATTTTTTCATTGGGGCGCGTGTGTCAGTTGAACTAGTTGTTTTTCGACGCTTTTCACAACAATCCTATTTTTTTTTTTCTTAAATTTGAACTTGATTAAATAAATATACGATATAATTGATAATTACCGATGGATGACAATTCTGCACCTATTACTTGAAAACAAAATCTGCAAGGGTATCACAAACGCGGCAAATGATGAACGAGGAAAAAGAAACAATCATCTATAATGACACAATGACTTTGTTTACTCTCGGCTGGTCGTCTATGCTTACGAGGCTCGTTACGTTATGTACACGCGCCGGCGAACATGACGTTTTCAAATTGCAAAGTGATACGACACGGTAACAATTTTACCTTCGAAAAGATTATTAATGCAATTTATGTATGCACACGGTATACACGTACAATAGAGAACAGAGATTTATAAAATGGCATCCCAAGTATTTGTGCACACATGCAATCTCGTCTTATTTTCGGCACCGCATATATATACCTACATGCAAATAAGCCAGCTGAACAAAGAGCCACAGTCTGCCAAATGTTTAATCCTCTTTCGCGTATACTATAACGGACATTGGCAGTTTTGAAGTATGCAATATACTTACCAGTCGCTCTTTGCTTGCTCGTTGGAAAACTTCCAGCCTCGCCCACGCGAACGTGTGTACACGTGTGCATACGTACAGGACGCAGGATGGAGAAAAAAAACCGCATCGCTGGTGCGTTTAATAAAGTAATAGCTGCACGTTTACGAAAGTAGTATCGATTTCGCGTGCCCTCGTTTGCGCGTTCGGTTCGGGTATGAACGGTGTGTCCCGGAAGATTCGAGGATAACAACGTTGTCAGGGCTATCTCGAGCGGGGGCCATTAGGGGCCATTTACGTAATAATGCAGTCTTGCATTTTGATGGGTTCTCGAGGATTTGCCCCTTCAACCCTCCCTACCCCCCTGGAAGTTCACAGAGGACGGATTTCCACGGTTAAACCGAAGCGCAATGTTGAACTTTGGAGCGAAGCTTCCGGAGTGGCTTGCAAGTTCTTGGATTTTACTTTCAATTAGCCCTCACTGCGGATGTGTTATTATCCTGTATAGTTTGATTTATAACTTGGTACGAGAGGATTGCTTTGGGTTTTCCACAAGTTTTCTTCGCGGTGAAAATTCGTAGGGGTTGCTCGTGACTTGGCAAAAAAAAAGGACAGATCGACGATTTCATAACTTACACGGTTTAATACATATTGTACAAGTGAAAATTAAATGACAAAAGCTCGGCCTCTCTCGTCCAAGTATACCAATGGAGGTGGCAAAAAGAAAGAAAAAACTTTCAGTCGTCGAGTTGGCAGAGCAGCGCGACGCCCCGTTTGACCCAGTGGGCAGCCGGCACCTCGGTATCCAGCAGAATCGAGAGCACGTAGTTAGTCGAGTGTCCGGTGGTCTTGAGGGTGCCAAACCGCTCGGACGTTATGTAAAGCGGGCAGAGGTACCTCCCGCGGTCCTTGATGTTGGCGCGCTTGCTCGGCTTCAGCCAGACCAGGGGCATCGCGTCGTGCAGTACCTTGGCCCGAGCCTCGCCGAGCTTCATCTTCCCCACGTCCCAGCGCGCCCCCGTTAGGTACATGCCGTACACGTACACTCCATCTTCGGGACCCTGCTTCGACTCGTGGCGCGGTAGGACCTGTCGCGTTGGGGGGGAAATTGCACTTTTTGGGCAACAGATTTTTTTTTTTTTTTTTTCTACTCCCACACGTGTTTCCAGAATCAAGGAAAGTTTCGAAAGTTTTGACCCCCTATCTCAGATAAATTTCTCAACTCAAAAAGATGTACACGACACGTTTCTTGTGTAAAATGGCAACCATCGATCAAGTTATCTGTATGGAATTTGAAATCCATTGGATGAAAGTTAGATTAGTTCAAAAACTAAATTCACACTCGAGCGCACAAGTTTCTTTTGCGTTGACAAACTCTCCTGTGTGAGTAGCCTTAACGACCCGCGAAAAACAAAAATGTCTTGGAGTATAGACGAAACCCCACATTTGCGCCCATACTAATTCCGTACTCCGCGTAACCGCGCCCTTGATCGAAAAAGTGGGAGTTTCCACAGACCCTCACCTGAAAGTCAAAGTCCACGAGATCGATCGAGATCTTGTACTTGCGGGCGTAATTCTGAGTCGCGCCGGTGAGAAACGCATGCACGAAGGAGAATCCTGAGATCCAGAACGTCGGCGGTTTGCCCTGGTCCATCCACTTTTGGAAGAAAGCCAACCGATCGAGAAAATCGTTGACGAAACTCGCGAGCGGCTTCAAACTCGGGTAGGCGCTAGCTCGACGCCACGAGGGCGGTATCTTCCCGGAGAGTATGTACGCCGACATTGTCTATCATCATACGTTGCGAGCATTATTTACCCATCCAGACCACGTATATTTACGTATGTGGTGCACCTACCTCGAGATCGGGGGTCATGACGATCATGCCCCGTACCGCGCGCTCGAGCATCGCCAGCGAGCCTCTCACCTCCTTGAGCAGCACGTTGTAGCGCTCCATCTCCTGTATGAGCACCGTGTTCATGGATTCGGAGTAGGAGGCCGGGTGCCGTCGCTGGGCCTCTTCGATGTCGAAGAGCTCGGGCAGGCGCTCGTAGATGTCGGCTTTTATGCTCAACAGCAGCTCGTCCTGCTTGGCTGCGTCCCCCACGCTGACTCCGCCCTTTTTTTTTTTTTTGCGACAAACACAGGGAAAAACAATGTTTCGGGTTTCGTTGAAACTACTTATGATGCGCTATCGTGTCGATGCAAGGGAAATCGCATCAATAATAAACAATTTAAAAGGAACGAGTTTGAGCTGGGGTGACTTTTTTTTTAAATTCGTTTTCCAATAAATTTTATTTGTGATCTGAGTTTCCTTGAAAATGAGCTAGAAAAAAGCAAAAATATAATTTTCACTCGACGTAAATTCATCCGTACCTGCATGCTGGCCAGAGAGTCGAAAAAGTTCTTCGATATGTCGAGATCACGAGTTATGCCAGCATTCATGTTCAGGCCAAGCACTTCCGGCGGTGGGTAGCTTGGGATCAATTCTATCTGCCTTATGTAATCCTCGTACTCGCATCTGTGCCACGAAACGGATCGATACGCGCGTGAGTTTTTATCGGTTATACGAATATACTATGTTCATGTCAGAGAAACAACAAAAAAAAATCCTGTACTATTGACCAAAAAATCGATACGAGTTTTTGTACTTTTTTGGTAGCGAGTACTCGCGCCCCGCGCCGGCCAAGAACACGTAGTCGGGGTTATTCACGACCTCGGCGTTGTAAAAGTCGAGGAGGATCGTGGTGAGGCACCGGCGGTCCCGATCGTCGGTCACGCGACCCCCGTAATTGCACTCGCCCGTGAGGTACAGTATCGCCTTGAAGGGCACCTCGTCGTACTCGTTGATGAAGATCTGCAGCTGCTGCGCCGATATCTGAAAGTCCGACTCGTTGAAACCTGCAATGCGGAATTACTTTTACAATGAGTACTGTCAATCGCTACCGTGAAAAATCACGGAAAATAAAAAAATACTTTAAAATCAAGGATATATCTTGGGGAAAGCTCCAAATAAATAAAACCACGCTCTCTGGCGAGTCGCCGTAAAGCTTGAAAACAAGACCATACATTTTTCGCTCTCAGACACTGCTATAAGCAGTAAACGTCGGCGAGATAAATAACAAGGAGGGTACAAGCGTGGCAGTGTCTTGGAAAAAAAAGAAATGAAGAAATAATAAAATGAAATGTGAAAAAAAATAAAACACGGAATGAAAAAAAAAAGATATAACAAGAAATTAAAAAAAAAAAAATTAAAAGAAACAAACCAAGGGGTATAAATGGGTCATGGGACCCACGGTAAGAACGAAGTTCTTTAAATATGACATAAGTAGGGTATGACGTACTCACGAAGTTCAACTATCGTGAGTACTGAACTAAATTTTCTTATTTTTTTAAATTTGTTTTTCAAGTTTTTGTTTCAGTGAACTACATGAATACAGTACTTATTTTTAAATTGAGAAATTGTGTGTCTTTATACTTATGTCATGTTTAAAGAACTTCGTTCTTACCGTGGGTGCCATGACTCATTTATACCCCATGGTTTGTTTCTTTTAATTTTTTTTTTTTTTTTTTTATTTTTTTTTTTTTTTTTTTTTTTTTTTTTTTCCGTAAAAGCGTTTCATAATTATGATATGCATAAGCTGTAAATGTTTAGTTTGTACTACACGTAGTATTACGATTTTTCAGATCGATCGTCTTATCATTTCGAGGCTGTCGCTTTACTTGCATTTAAATTTATCGCATCACAGTCGATTGTGCATACTACTACTACTACTACTATTACCTACTACTACTACTAGTACTACTATTATTACTACTGTACCGTGTTTTTAACGCAAATAGCATTGTACTTAAGAGTTACTAATATAATATAAACGGAGATCTCGAAATTATATATATATA